GGTCAGCAGTTCGAAACTACCAGCTGTTCCATAAGAGAAAGATGAGACTTTCTGCTCCCATAAAGATTTACAGCCTCGGAAAACCCTGTGCAGGGTCGCTATGAGTCAGAACCGACTCCACGGCACATAACAACATGTATGTGTTGTAAAGCATTTTAACTAAAGAAAAATAGATTTTGTAAGAATCAGTGTAAAGTAATTGCACTTAAAATTTTGTGCAATTATTCAAAATAGATGTTTTTTTCTCATTACTGGAAAATGGTGAGACTATAGATTTTATACCATATTCTGAATCTGTATTGTAATTAACTCAGAATATTTGAATAGATGTAAGGGAAACTGTTTTTGTATAATTACTTTAAATATCATTTAACTTTTTAAACATAATTTCAAAATGAAATGGTGTTTACCAAATTAAAAATGCCAAATCAAAACTACTGCAATCAAATTGATTCCAACTCATCATGTTCTTAATATGTATAGAACTGGTCTTTAGGGTTCCCAAGACTCTTACATCTTTACAGGAGCTAGAGTCAGATCTTTTCCCTCAGAGAGGCTGGTGAGTTTGAACCTTTGACCTTGTGGTTATTAGTACAATTAACTGAATGTGCCATCAGGGTTCCCCTTTACTAAGTATGTGAATATTAAGTTTAAAATTATGCTATTACATAGTAACATGCAAGCAAAACCTCAATCTTCTTATAGATCAAGACAATATGCCATTAGCATTAAATGTTTGAAAGCGCAATTTCCAGTAGTAGAAAAAAAATTCTACTAAAGTATTGCTTAGTAGAAAGGAAAGAAACTGTAAGCTCTGACCACTTAGCAAAACAATATGGGTAAGCACCCAAAAACCTTATGCCTAAAAGTTATTTTTGAAATAATATGAAAAAGAGAGTTGACATATTGATTTCCTTTTCTACTATTATTATGGTTTCCAGTTTAAAAAACAAAACAATTGGAGATTTAAAAATAGTATCTCCCATCTGAATCCTGCTGTAGCAAGTGGATTTACGTAGCTATGGTGTAGTTTATAAATACTACATTATCTTTGTAGAACACAACTAATATTTTGTCTAATGTTTTTCTTTCTCTCTTTTGTTAAGCTTCTCCATGGGTTGACAATAGTAGGACTCCAAATAAGATTGACCTGTATGATGTACGCAGAAGACCATGGTAAGAAGTTTTGGTAACCATGAAATAGACACAAGACATTTGCTTTTTCTTTATTGATAAGGTTGAGTGAATATTTTTTACTATTAGAATGAAGACTGTCTACTCGTTTAAAAAGCTCTAGTGTTTGTTGTTTTTTAATTAATATTTTAAAAATAAATACTAGTTGAAGGTTAATGTAGACAGTACATCCAAATGGAGAATGATAATGAGTATTTCTGAAATGATTTATCCAATTAATTTCAAATGTATTATATTAAGTGTTATATTCAATGCCAGGCCAAAGTGTTTTTTTAGCTGCTGGGGAATTCTATTGGAAGGCTTTCAGTTTGCTTGCAGTAGAGCTTTAATACAGAAAGTAGGTACAATTGGAGGTAGTTTGCCTCTGGTAGTAAACTAATGAGAACTGGCCCCAAGGTAAAAGCTGCCCATCTTTATATTCATATAGCTCGGGTTTTATTTCTCCTAAAATAAATATTGTTTGTTCTTTACTATGAAAACAATCATCTCATACCGTGAAACTCAAAAAGGATTGATAGTTCATAATTACGCTCACTGCAAAACAACTATTAAAACCATTATTTAATATGAATTTTTTACCATACCTAAAATATGGATGAACAACATTTTCCTAATGAGTTCTTATTATAAACAACATACTTCTCTGCTATCTACCTTTTAGTTTTTATTTTAAGGTTTATATGGGAGAACATCAGCTCTACGCTCATCCTACCGTACTGCGTTTCATTGCAATGATTACAATCGCCTCCATGCATCATCAAACAACCAAAGGTTACACCACACAGGCCTGCACCCCAGCCACCAGCACACAACCCTTCTACCTCCCTGAGTCCAGTGTCCCCAGACGCTCCATCTGTCCACGTCATTGCCTCTGTCTCCATCCTTGGTGTCACTGCCTTTCTGGGTAGGGCCCCGCTCTCCATTCTTCTCACTTGATGGCCCCAGGGACCTCCGCTCCTGGGCTACAAAATTGATCACTCTCCTCCTTTTGTCAAAAAACATCTACCTCTATATTTCCTACCCTCACAGTCAGTCCTGATGGCAGTTGTTCACTATTGTACTACAAGTTTTATCCCCATTTCCTTTCACCAGCCTGGTTCTAACAGTGGTGAGTTTACCTTTCCCAGCCCCGTCTGGAACTAGGTTCCCTCTTGAAAGCTTGTAAGACAGTCACTTCTTGCCTTTATAGCCCCCCCTCACCCCAATATGGGGTAGCCAATATCTAAGTTGCCCATCCCTGTCAACCCTGTGTACCGAGGGGGTGGGAGTGATCCTCACTGTAAAGATTTGTTCTCTTTCTTGAGCTACTACATCCATAAGTAAAGGTAAAGTTCATCAAATTATAGCAGGTTACTCTTCCCCCACCCCCTCTTCTTCTTCTAGTCGAGTTCTGATTATTGAGCCATCAAAGCAGGGTCAAGTGGGTACTATCTGCAAGTATGGATATTCTTGTGCATCTCCCTCCCCTCACTTCATATTAGCTGGACACTTCACTCTCCACTCTAGTTCTCTGTGGCCATGTCACTGCCTCTGGGCTCAGAAGTCCCCAGGTCTTGCCATACTGCTGGCCATCCAGGTCTCCACCTAGGGTTACAGGGGCCTATTGAATGTGGTCAAGCATAGCTCGCAACTTCATTGCTGTTTTTCCCCTCATTTCCCCTTATCAGTAACCAGCATGGTCACCAGCCAGACCACATGCCTGCTCATGTGTTCCCCTTGAGTCTCAGTCTTGGAAGGAGATTTGTTCTGAGAGGTACTGACCACTTGCCTTGATGGCTCCTGGGCAAACAGCTTACTTGTTCTTGTAGTAATCAATCAGACTGCCGTTATTGTTTCGGATTTTTTCTGCTGGTCTTTCTTTCATGAAGTATCTTATGTTCTTCTAGCTTCTCCAGGCTGGTGTACCCGTCCTTTCAGTGGAAATTTCCCACCTCAGTCGCTTCCAGATGGGGTTCTGGATTCTACCTATGGTCTTGTGTAATGTAAAGGCTTCACAGGAAGCCTCTTTCACTGGGCAACTTCTAGCCCCCTTTAAGGTATTCTAACCGTTTGTAGGCTGAAAACAGACTTACAAGCTTTCTGTAGTGAGGTTTCTGACTATTCCTTTCTACCCCTCTCAATTGTCCATTTTACAATGGTAGGCAAGGGAAACCAAGATTCAAAAGACAGCCAAGAATTCTGACATTATTCCCTCTTTTACCCCTTCAAACCATTCCTAAATCCCTGTATCCCAGAGCCCTGTTATTCATACAAAGTTGTCATTTACCTCTGTCCCACTTAGCCCATGCAAATCTTGTTCTTCCATTCCCCTCTCCCTTCTTGTGTATTGGGAGAAAGATTGTCTACTATTTTTGTCTCTAAAGGTCTGTTAGGTGTCTGCGTGTGCACGGCGTAATTCTCGAGATAGATGTGCCCTTTTATGTTGGGGTTTTACAGATTGTTCATATGGTTTGTCTGTCAGACCTGACTGGCCTGCTTTTTTCTTGCTAGATAAGCCAGAGTAAAGGGTCCCACACCAGTTAACTTTAGGGTTTCCACCCCAAGGCTGATGTCATAAGCAGTCACCAAGCTCTTTCTCTCTGTGCCATGGGAAAACTGTGGGCTAAGCTCTGGACTTTTTTGGGGGGAGAGTGCTCACCCACCCACCTGACAAAGATGTCCTGCTGGACAAAGAAGGTGCGACAGGGAAGAAGAGGAAAAAATTAGCTGATTCCCCCACACCTACTTTTGCAAATGTGATTGTACTGCTCCCTGTTCCCTGTGCAGGTTTGACTGTAGCTAGCCCCACCCTCTGAACTCTGCCCAGAAAGGGTGGCCACAGAGGGAGGCGTGTCTCGAGTGATTCTTAACTCAAAATTATTGTTGTTATTAGGTGCCCTCAAGTTGGTACCGACCCATAGCGACCTTATGCACAGCAGAACAAAACACTGCCCAATCCTGGACCAACCTCACTGCTGTTGCCATGCTTGAGCCCATCAATCCTGCCACTTGGCCAATCCATCTTGTTGGAGGTCTTCCTATTTTTCTCTGACCCTACCAAACCTGATATACTTCTCCAGTGACTGATCCCTCCTGACAATATGTCCGAAGTATAAGAGATGAAGTTTGGCCCTCTTGGCCTCTAAGGAGCACTCTGGCTGCACTTCTTGTAAAACAGATCTATTGTTCTTTTGGCAGCCCATGGCACTTTCAATATTCTCCTCCAACACCATAACTCAAAAGCATCAGTATTTTCCTTTATATCATGATTTTTCCACGTGCGCGTGTGTGAAACTAACGGCTTGGACCTTCTGCTAGATCCAGAGCTCTGGAGTTGTTCCGTGTTTCCAGTTTCTCTGTGTTTTCAATCCCTCCCCAACGGAACCTTTCCTACCTGGCTGCCTCTGATGCAGCCAAAACCGGAACTCCCCCCATATCTACTTTTTACATATCAGTATCTTTGAGTCCATTTTTATAAGAAGAGGCACATTTAAACAACATCATTTAAAAAAAAAACTTATTTAAGTAGTACTTATTTGTTATGTACCTTCGAGTCAGTTCTGACTCATAGCGACCCTGTATAGAGTTTCCAAGGGGCAATTGGTGAAATTGAACCACTAACTTGTGGTTCAAACTGACCTTGCTGTCCAGTGCTTTATCCCACAGCTCCATACCAGGACTCCACTTATTTAAGTAATCCCCCATTATTGGACATTTAGGTAATCTCTGACTTTTTGCTGGGTTCATACAAATTTTAAGAAGTATAATAGCTGATTTAAAATACTTGCATGTAAGACTTTTTAAATACCCTGTGAAGTGTTCCAAGAGGAGCACCATACTTAAGTTCTCAGCTACTAACCAAAAGGTCAGTGGTTCAAACTCACAAACTGTTTCCTGGAAGAAAGATTTGGCAGTTTCTCTAAAGGTTTACAGCCTTGGAAACCTTACCTGACAGCTCTACTCTGCCCTATGGGGTGTCCATGAGTTGGAATCAACTTAAGGACTTGGATTTTCGTTTGCTTGTTTTTGATTAAATGCCACAGTAGTAATTTACATGAATACCAGCTAGATACAATACCACCAGTTTTTCACCTATTATTCTTGTTAACACTTCTCCAAGTGTAATTCCTGTGTAGTCTTGAGTTACTGAATGAAAGCATTCTATTACTTTTTATTGTTTGAGTTCAGGAACTTTTTTGTTTTGAAGGAAATAACCACCCCCACCACATGGGGACTCACACAGCCACCTCCCACCACATGGGGACCCACAAAACCACCACCACTACGTGGGGACCCCACAACAACCTCCCACCACATGGAGACTCACACAACCACCACCACCACCACATGGGAACTCTACATTATATTATGTTTTACTCTATCTCAAAGTAATTGATTGGCCCATGGGGTATTTCTTTTATGTTAAGATTACTTATTTATGCGCCTGGCCACTTGTCTGTTTTTGTATTTATTTTTCACTTTAAAAAATATCACCTGATCTATTGTTCATTAGAGTAATTTTTAAAACCTGTGGTCAGCAAATTGGAGTTAAGGACATTTTTTTCTCATTTTTTCATAAAATGCCCTTCTACAAGTTAATTTTATTGCTAATATTAGAATACACCTCTCAATTATTTTGTTAAAAGTGATATTAAAATTTTTAGATTTTATATCTCTGACATCTCTAATATAAATTTAGTACTTTTTTGAAGTTGACACTGCAAAATGTAAATGAACGAGCCTCAGAGCATCATCTTTTGAGGCAGAATGGAAGCATCTGGAAACGCTTTACTTGAAAAAGTGTGTTATGTTAGAGATCACGTAGCGAGTTAATCAACTTCTATGTCTGATTCTTTTCAAGAAAAAAAAACCCCCACATAATTCAAATGGTTATTTGTTTCAGGTACATTCAAGGAGCTGCATCTCCTAAAGACATGCTTATCCTGGTTGATGTGTAAGTGTTAAATATTATATATTTATTTATAGACTTAAGAATATGATTTATAGATTGCAGTGCTATATTGGAACTGTGAAATGTATGATAGGTTAAAAAATAAAAAAATTCAAGGTATACTATAATGACTTTTACATCTAGACAAACACATATATATTAAGGCAGAAACAAAATTAAAATAATCCTACTGAATGTGAAAAATTTATGTTGTAATTTAAAATTTTGGCATTGTTCTCATGCTGAGCTTTTTGAACAGTAGTTATGGTTTTTGCTTCTGTTGTTTGCTCTATATCGTAAATAATGTGAATACATGATTTTTTTAAACTAAGCTGTCCTGTTATACAACCAGAAAAAGAAAAATGCAAACAGATTTAATAATTTAGTCAAATAAATAAATATTAAAATTTCTAACTGGAATTTTTTCCAGGGAAACATTGATATGCAAGAATGAATTCCAGTACCTGTCATTTTATTTACATGTTTGTTCCATTGCTTCAACTAGAGAGTACATATATGTTTTTTCATGAATTACTTTCTTTTTTCTAAAGAAATTGCATATGGGCATGTAGAACTAAGAGAATAATACATCAATACGTCCGTCTATGAATACTTGCTTTGAGTAATATCAAGGCATTAAAAATATAACGTATAAAATCCTTAGGTTACTTTATTAAGAGGAAAAAAATTGTATCCATATATTCTTTGCTTCACTGGAAGAAATAGTGACATCAAATAAATTCACATTATAGGCAATTATTAATATTTGAAAATAACCCCATCTTAAGATTTAACATGAAGAAAATAATTTCAATGTAGTTTTCTCAAACATTATAATACAGCTGAGAAAGAGTAGATAATGAGTTAGGTAAATGTAACTTAAATTTTACTTCTCATTTCCTTTGTTCAAATTCACTTAAGTCTTGTGCTATTTTAAATATTTCATTAGGGAGGTTGCATCCTATGTTAACAATCCTTGGTATTCTTCTGAAGTATAAATATAAGTGGTAACACACTGTATTATATTCTTCTTGGTGTATGTAATTTCCAGAAATAATTTTCACAAATTAAAATCTGTGGAAGCCAAACTCATATTTCAGGTTTGAAAACATATACAAAATAGAAGTATTGTATTTTATTTTATTTTCTTCAACAGAAATTTATTGAATTTCATACATGTAATATAACACAGACAAAGATGATTAAGACATAGTTACAGAAGTCAAAACAATACCAATGTATTATGGATAATAAACTATCTACAACTTACTCAAATCATTATTCAAAGTAATTGATATCATAAAGTAAGTACAGCACTCAGAGAGGGGAAGGAAAGCACTTTGATTTAAGGTTTTAGTAAGGCTTCATGAAGGTGATAAAAGAAAAACTCTTTAAAGATAGCTATGGGAGCAATGAGGCTAGAGAGTGGGATTTTAAGTGGAAAAATTGACAAGAGCAAAGTTGCATGGCCCAGGGACTCTTTGGGGATTGATGGAGAAAGGAAAGAGAAAAGTTTAAAACCGACAGATCATAAAATAAATGTAAGGCTATTTGAGTTATTGGCTTGTTTGAAGGTAACTATTTCGTAGCTACTAAAAACTCTAAACACAGAAGAAAGATGAGGCTTTCTGCCCCCACAAAAATGTTAAAGCCTGACTATGAGTCAGAACCGACTCCACAGCACTTCATAAAGACAACAAAAGCACAAATTGAAGGTACAGCTCCAGACACTTTACCTGACAGCAAGTAGAAGAGAAGAGACAAAGATCTAGACACAAGTAGCTGTTAGCTTAGGTGAGCATCTTCAGGCAATAAGTCCCTGGGTCAGAGTGGAGAGAGGAGCCGAGAGACCACTGTCTTGGGAGTGAGCAAGATGAATATGGGAGACTGTCTGGAAGGGTAGGAAGGATGAGTTGGGAGCACTTGTTTCATGACTGATATCCACTATGATTAGTCCCAAGAACAGAAAGGTAAATGACAAGTATGCTTTTCAAGAAACAAAATGATCGTTTTGGACATTGACCTCGTAGTAGTTATGTAGAAGAAGCCTAAAATTGGGGAAATGTCAAAAGCTAAAGATATAGGTGTAAAGTTGAGTCTTGATGCTGTGCAAATAAGTGAGGTTATGAAGGACCAAAAAAATATGCAGACACAAGAAAGATGAAGACTGAATCTCAGAAAACATCTGCTTTCACACATAAAGGAATGCATTATGTCCAAAACTCTATTACCCCAATTGTTATGCTGCTTTATAATTATTTAGCCCAGTTAAATAAGGGCACTCCAGGGCAGGAATTGTCTAGGAAACTCTGTAGCCCTCCCTGTAGCTCAGCTAACAAAGTTATTGTCCCATACATATTTTCTAAATGAGTGAATATGCTATGCACATTCATATATTCTTAAAATGGCCATTTTGCTTTCAAGTTTGATCATTTTAGTTAATGTACGTATAAATAGTGGTCGTTGTTGTTGTTAAGTGCCATTGAGTTGATTCCAACCCACAGCGACCCTGTACAGGGTTTCCAAGGAGCAACTGGTGAGCCTGAACCACCGACCTAGCAGTTCAAACGACTTTGCAGTCTGACGCATTAGTCCACAGCGCCACACCGGGACTCCACATATGTATTGGTAGTGGTAAAGAAAGAAAGACAGAGTTTCTTATAATTTCCACTCCATCAAAAGATCTGACATCTTCAAAAACCATATTATTAACTGTATATTTTATAAATGATCTATATTCAGTGCATGATTTACCTTTCACTACAGTGTCTGATGCCATTGACTAAATAAGTGGTAATGTGTGCGGAACCATTTGTCTGTTTACAGGAGTGGAAGTGTTAGTGGACTGACTCTGAAATTGATCCGAACCTCTGTCTCTGAAATGTTGGAAACCCTCTCAGATGATGATTTCGTGAATGTGGCTTCAGTAAGTATAAGGGTTTGACACTGAGTGAGGTAATTAAAGTAATGAATAAGAAAAAATAGCATTCCAAATAGTCTCTTGTACTCAGGGGAGGTTAAACAGGTAACATGAAACCTTGTGCTCACTAATGTCATTGTACCTCCTAGTAAGTTATAATCTGATATTATATAACAATTTTCTATATGTTGTAATGCTCATTTTCACACTGAATACATCTCTATGTTGTATTATGTTCTTTAAGTATGTTTTTCTTATTGACACAAGCACCAACAGATATTTAAATGTGCTCTTTTTTAAAGTCTATTACCCCAGACGATTTTAGACTTTCCTACTGCTGGTGTGACACTGTGGGTTAATGTGCTGGACTGCAAGGTCAGTTTGAACTGCAAAGTTGGCAGTTCAAGCTCACCAGCCACTCCTTGGAAACCACATACAGGGTCGCTATGAGTTGGACTTACTCTGTGGTAATTAACAACAACAACTCACAGCTGGAAAGCATTGAACTCTGAAAAAAATAAAGAAAACAGAAATCTAGGTAAAAAATGTTATGGCAGTTTTGTGGCAAAGAGAGTGATACAAGTTTTTGAGAAATTGAAGACACTTATGACTCCAGCACCATGACTAAGTGCACATGTTGTTGTCAGGTGCCATCGAGTCGGAAC